TTGATCTAAACGAGTACCTGGCTGATGACGAGGATCAGCAGTAATGCATACAGCAGGCACTTGAACCATGACAAAAGGAAGATGCCTGGTTGGGAGCTTCTGCCCTGATCCCATCAGAAGCAGAAAAAGAGGCATTTCCTGTTTTGCCATGTAGCAAAGGGGTCTGTTTGGGCAGTCACTCACTTCTGCAAAGTTGAAGAGGCCACTTCCCAGTGAAGAAACTATTTATGGTGAGAAGTGATGTCCCTGCTGAGGTAATCTTCTAGGGCAGTGTTTCTTAAACTATGTTCCATGGAACACCGGTGTTCCATGAACAACCTGCAGGTGTGCCGTGACCTCTTCTTTGTTTTTGTCTTGTTTTGTTTGACTTTTTTTTTTTTTTGGGGAAGAAAATTTTCATAGGTGTTCCACATAAAAAAATATTATTGTTTGGTGTTCCGTGGTCTCAAAAAGTTTAAGAAACACTGTTTTCAGGTGCTGCTGATCTCCAGGAGGTGAGTTACCTCTAAATGGATGCTCTGGCTGATGCTGATCCAGGGAAGGAGAGCCATCTAGCACAGCACAGAGGAGCATGTTCCCCCCTTGTCTGCTGACATAAAATATCAAGGCCATATTGTCCATGAGGACTCTCACCACCATGCCTGCCATGCACGGTAGGAAGACCCCCAGGCCAGATACACTACTCTGGGCTCCTAGACATTTATGTGCACCTTTGCCTCCTCTTGGATCCACAAGCCTGGGTCCAGAGGTTGCCTAGCTGTGCATCAGTGTTACCTCTAAGGTGCATGCCTGCACGGGTGCACACCAAGAATCTGAGGCACGCCCACCTCCTCCTATGAGATTCAGCGCACAGTATAAATCATGAAAAAGCTCATGTGTATAGTGATGTTGCTCACATATCCATTGGGAAGCTTCAACATTAAAATCAGTGATTTCTCTTCAGGGGGCTACAATTCAAATGTAAAATTTTTTGTTTCAGCTTTCCAGGATGCATTCCAGATTAAATGATTTTTTTTAATTAAGCTAATATTTGAAAAGAATGTCTCCTGGCAGTTTTGAAGTACTTCGGTTATCACTTGTTTTTATTCTTTGAGCCCTTCTCACCTGGTCCAACTGTAACATCTGTGGAGTGCTTGTTGATTATCTTGATCTTGTCACTAAAGCCATTTTTCTCCACTATCTTTTCAGCAGCAACAGCCATAGGCATGAAGACCTTGAAAAAATATCAAGAATATAACATGTGGATAGAATTAACATCAAAATCTAAAGGGAAAATTAACACCAAAAAATGAGTCTATTAACTAAACCTTGTTAAAGAAAATCCTTTATTGTAAGCATCCCTTGTTCTGTTAAAATGTAGTATACTGTGAGTGTTACTTTTAACCTTAGAAAGTCACACCATGCACAGTGGCATCATGAATCCTATGCACAATTTGCTCTTTCAACACTGGGCAGAGTGGAACATTAGTAGTGCCCATGCCTTGCACTGCTTGTCTGTACAGGAGTGAATGTTACCATGAATGATGAACCCACAATGTAAGTTAATCTCCCACTATGAAAGTCTTAAGCTTTCAAAAAGACTGAGTAAACTGTTGAGACTTTAAATACCAACATCTAAAATAAACCAGTTTAGAAATGAGACGTTCTTCACATGAGGCCTACCAAGACCTAACTGAACTGAAATGGGAACCAAAATAAGACTGACACTGAAGAAAAGCTGTTGATCTTGTTAAAATATGCACCCAGTAACAGTATTAACAGTGGCAAAATATACTTATTTCTATACCTCTTGCTGCCAAGGGAACTTTTTTTTTTAAATTCCTGCAAGAATGTAAGCGTGAAGACAGGGATGGAAAAACAGCTGCTGTAGATCACTGGGCTAAAAATGAATGTGCTTATTACATTCAGAGGAATGTTTTAAAACAACATCAGTCTTTCTGACTGATATCTATACTATACAATTCTTTTGTACTGATAAGTTTTAAATATCTGCAGAGTCTGTAGAATCTGATTGTTTAGGATAATCACCAAATTTGAACCTGATTCATCATTTTCAGAGCAAGTTAATGTGCTGCTAGTTTGCAGCATTTAACAAACTAAGAGGGCTTCTCCTGCTAAATTACTGTAAGCAAGTGCAAAATGTTTGGAGTTACTATTTTCAAATTGTAATCCACAGACCACTGGGGATCTGCAGAAAGCTGGCTGGTTACATGATATTTCTAGCTGCTAACTTGTATTAAAAGGTATGAAAGATGCATTGTATAGATTTTCAATTTACTCTTTAAAAAGTAAGAAATGGTTGTTATCTGATGACCAATTGGAAGCTCTATTTTAATAATAATGGGGGATTTCAATTGTCCCCATGTAGACTTGGGTACATGTCATCTTATGACAGGATGCAAAACTAAAAATCCTAGATATCATTAATGATTACTTCTTGGAGAAGCTAGTCCTGGAACTCACAAGGGAAGCGACCGACCATTCTTAATTTAGTCCTAAATGGTGCATAAGATCTGATCCAAGAGATGAATATAGCTGAACCACTCAGTAATAACCATCATAATGTAACTAAATTTAACATCCTTATTGTGTGGTAAATACCAAAGAAGCCCACCACAGTAGCATTTAACTTCAAAAAGTGGAACTTCACAAAAATGAGGACGTTAGTTAAATGGAAATTTAAAGGAACGGTCACAACAGTGAAATGCCTGTAAGATTTATGGAAACTTTTTATAATGATAGAGGCTCAAACTACATGTATAACTACCCTGCCTCTCCCTCCTCCAAAAAACCACAAGAGGGTCAAAAAGATTGCCACCATGGCTAAATAACAAAGAAAAAGCAATTATAGACAAAAGGATAACCTTTAAAAGTTGGAAGTCATATGCTACTGAGGAAAACAGAAAGGAGAATAAGCTTTGGTAAGTCAAGTATAAAAATATAACTAGATAGGCCAAAAAAGAATAAAAAATACTAGTAAAAGACACAAAAATTAATACCATTTTTTTTTTAGTATATTGAAGGTGCTGAAGGAGCACACAAGAAAGACAAAGGCATTGCAGAGAATGCAAATGGATTCTCTGCATTGGTCTTCACCGCAGAGGATGTGAAGGAGAGTCCCACACCTGAGCCATTACAGGCAGTCCCCGGGTTACGTACAAGATAGGGACTGTAGGTTTGTTCTTAAGTTGAATCTCTATGTAAGTCGGAACTGGCATCAGCCGCTGCTGAAACTGATCAGTTTCAACCGCGCCTGAATCTGGATGCCAGTTCTGACTTACATACAGATTCAACTTAAGAAAGGATGTGAAGGAGAGTCCCACACCTGAGCCATTACAGGCAGTCCCCGGGTTACGTACAAGATAGGGACTGTAGGTTTGTTCTTAAGTTGAATCTCTATGTAAGTCGGAACTGGCATCAGCCGCTGCTGAAACTGATCAGTTTCAACCGCGCCTGAATCTGGATGCCAGTTCTGACTTACATACAGATTCAACTTAAGAAACCCAGGCATCCCCAAATCAGCTGCTGCTGAAACTGATCAGCAGCTGATTCCAGGAAGCCTCGGGCAGAGCAACTCTGCCTCAAGCTTCCTGTAGTCAGCCGCTGGGCAGGTTCAG